ATTAAATAAAGAAAAAAAAAATAAAAATACATAGTATTTTGGAAAATAAAAAAAAAAAAAAAAGTGCATGCTAAAAACATGGCTGGGAGCTAGCTTGGCGGTCTAAGCACCTGCCTGTCAAGTGCAAAGACCCAAGTTTGATCCTGGTATCGCATGCCATGCCAGCCCCAGTCCTAGAACCCTGGGTGCGCCACATCAGCTCCAAAACTGGGTATGTTGGCGCACACCTGTAATCCCTGTGCTGGGGAGGCTGAGACAGAAGGATCACTACAAGTCTGAGCTGTGTAAGGAGACCTTATATCACATAATGTCTTAAAAAAAAAATTAAAAACTTAAAAAAAATCTTGAGCTGTTATCTGAAAGCAGCACAAGCAGACTAAGGAACCCTAATAGGGACCCTATCATAAACAAATTATGTTACACTATAGGTCCAATCACGTCTTCCAAATACAGCATGATCAAAATAGATACCATCACATAAAAGACTTATGTGTAAGACTTAACAGGACCTTGAGAATGATCTGTCTGAATCATTTGTAGGATGGGAAAAGAAAAACGGCAAAGAAGAACACCACTATCTCTTGATCTTTAATATTCACTTGAAACCTAAAGAGAGTAACAATCCGATAATCTTAATGAAGTGTCTGGCAGCAGCTTTTGTACACTGTGATCACCATCGTCCCAACACTTAACTCTGAGCAACTACCACTGGGCCATGAGCACTAAGGGCTCTCTGGGTTCACTCTGAATCCTCAGCAGTCCCAGAGTAGTGGTTTATTACTATCTGTACTACAGATGAAGAAACAGAAAGCTAAACACCTTGAAGCAGCTCACGATGTGAAGAACTGGAATTCAGAAAACGTGTTGCCATAGTCCCACCTTGGGACAGCACTAAGGACCAAGGACAGGGACATTCTGCCATTAGCCTCCAGCCCTTTTCATCGTTCTCTTTTGAGACAGGGTATTGCCAGGTTATCATGGCTGGCCTGAAACCTGCCACTCCCTGCCTTAGCTTCCTGGCGACAGGTATGTGCCAGCACACCTGGCTACTCTTCTATTTTTTTGGTGGACTTGGGATTGAACCCAGGGCCTTTGTACTGAGCTACACGTCTATGTGGTTTTATTCTGTGATCGGACTTCACTAGGTTCCCAGTCTGGGCTTGAACTCTAGATCCTCCTGACACTGCTTCTTTTTGTACTAGGAATTGAACTCAGGACCTTGTGCTTACCAGGCAGGTGCTGCATAGCTGAGCGATATACCTGGCCCAACTCTGCATTTTTAAAATGAAGCTATCTCTGCTCCAACCCCAAACAGTACATGGCTTAAGGAACAGTAAAAACTCAGGAACTATACTGCTTTATCCCTACAGATACGTCAGTCATCCGATCAAATTAGCAAGTTGCCTGCTGGTCTGAAGAATGCTCAATTTTATTTTACTATTATTTGGCACAGGGTCTTGCTACACAGCTCGGATTCATAGCGATCCTTTCTTAAGTCTCCCCAGCACTGAAATTACAGGTATGTCCTACCATGCCTTGCTCTGGAGACTGATACGGCATGTGGTACTGGGGATTGAACCCAGGTCCTTGTGCTTGCCAGGCAGGCACTTAGACCGCTGAGCTATCTTCCCAGCCTCAGTGTTCAATTTTAAATAACCAACTTCAGATTTCACATCCCTGACCTCTTGAATTCTCAAAACATTTAAAGAATTTTACAACAGAGACAATTTCTCTAATTATGCAAAGAGGAAAATACTTTAGACTTACAACTTTCTACAAAATTCCTATATTCACCTGTTGGTCATCAAGTTGGAGACACATACATATATACCAACTTCTACCAAGTCAGGCAAACTTTCAGTGAAGCCCTCTTGGCTAGTTTCATGGCTATGCCTTGAATTAACGAGGAACGTACTTCTCCCCTTCATCAGTCTTAACAGTCTATAACAGTGGCGGCAAACCGAGGGCACACAGTGGGGCTGCTACCGTCAAAAGCTCTAAAGGTTCACCACGTCGTGATCTGTAACTACCAGCCATCGAATTTCATTAGGGAATTATGACCTTGAGCTTTCTGATTTCCTTGGGTGTGTGTACTTTTGTGGTATGAAATAATGTTCATAACTCTGAAATTTTGACTCAAAAGAGTAACAACATAGAAGCATCATGCCTAGGGCAGGGGAGACAGCTCAGCAGCCTGCTTGGCAAGCCGAGTTCGATCCCCAGTACTGCAAACCAAAACAAAAACACAAATGAGGCAAAGAATCTGCAAAGACAGTCTATCAAGGCAGCCACGTAAGTGGCTCATAGCAAGTGGACATCCAATGTTTGGTTAGTAGGGAAACACCAATTAAACCATCACGAGGTATCACTTCACATCCACCAGAACAGTTATTACTTTAAAAAAAGAGAAAATAATAAGCACTACAGAGAAAGGTGGCCCTTTATCATTGTTGGTGGGCGACAGTACGAAAGTTCTGTCAAAAATGAAGCACTTACCTGACAATTCAGCAAGCCCACTGCCCACTTATAGGAAACCCCCAGTAGCTGGGTGTGGTTGCACATGCTTGTAATCTCAGCACTTGGGATCAAGTTTGAGACCAGCCCGGGCAACAAAGTACACTCAAAGCCAGCCTGAATTGCATAGTAAGACGTTGTCTCAAAAAGACAAAAAAAAAAAAAAAAAAAAAAAAAAAAAAAAAGAGAGAGAAAAGAAAGAAACCCCTATAAGTATGAAAAGCTGTGATGTAAAGACATGTATGCTTGTGTTTGCCACAACATATCTCCAGGAAGGGCTGGCTGAATAGCTCAGCAGATTAAAGCACCTGCAAACAGGTGCAGGGGCTGGGGGTTCGATTACTGGGCTTGCAGTACTGGCTCCGCCCCTGGGGCACACTGAGACAGCACTTGAGGATGGGTGTGGTGGTGTGTGCCTGGGAGGCTGTAAACAAGCAGATCACTGGGTCTGATCTAGTAGTAAGACCCTGAACACCCGGTAGACCCTTCCCTAAGACACAAAAAACAAACAAAAAGAAAACCGTTTCTCCAGTAGCCAGGAGTACATAAACCTAGGTGGCCCTGGATGAATAACAAAATATGGCATATACGAAGGAATGGTCAACCTTCCAAAGAGGAAATTCACAGCCTTGCCATTAATGAATAACAAAAGCATTATGCTAAGAGAAACAAAAAAGGAGAAAGACTGATAATCCTACCTATATGAAGCATTTGGCATAGTTAATTCCAAAGAGACAGAAAGTAGAATGGTAGTTGCCACAGGCAGGTGGAGAAGAGAAAAAAGCAGAATTATTGCTTAACTGATAAGGAATTTCAGTTTAGGAAAAAAAAGTTGTGGAGTTGTACAATAAAGTTGTACAATAATGTCAATGTACTTAATGAACTGTTAAACACAGTCAATTCTACCCACGTTTTTGGCCAAAAAATTTAAATTCCTACCTATGAGTTGTGATAAAAACAGTTAACGTGATGGATGTATATACCATATACTATACGAACCTGTTGATGTTTTTCTTTTGGTGGTACTGACAATCAAACCCAAGGCTCTGCACACACTAGGCAACACTCTACCACTGAGCTAAATCCCGAGGTCCCCAAACCTGGACCTTTTCCCTCAGCCTATGAAGAAGAGAGAGCCTGTATTTCTATCACAGTTGACAACAGATGAACAGACCACTATTATAATGCTATGAACACAAAATGCAGGTACTCTCTACTTCGAAGGTTAAGTTAAAAGCCAACCACATCACCTGCAGCCCCAACACAGTGGTCCCCCTTTGTAGGGATCTGTTGGTCTCTCAGTGTGGTCTGTTGTACCCAGAGAGAAAACAGCAGTAGGAATGAAGAAAAGACAGACAAGAAGATAAGAGATGGGTTAGGTGGTGACCCCTCTGCCTGGTTGGCAGGATGAGCCCTTGAAAAATAGTAAGGACCTTTATACTTTTACAATTTTTTTTTTAAGACCAAGGTAGCTTGATTGCAAAGGCAACGCAGCCTTGTCCTGCCAAGCCAATTTTAGCTTCAGTAGCTCCCAACACCCCTTGAGTAGGGTGCCAGTGGGACTTCGTGCAGGAGACTTCCTTCCTAAAGCAACCCTTCATGGACAGTACTGGACAGGGGGATCTTTATTCTTTTTTTTTAATATTTTATTTATTTATTTATTTATTTATTTATTTATTTATTTATGTGTGGCCAGCTCAGCCCACCAGGGGGCGGGGCTGACTGGCATGTGGTGCTGGGGGATTGAACCGCGGTCCCTTGTGCTTTGCTGAGCTTGTTCTAAGTGGGTGCTTTAGACCACTGAGCCATCTCACCAGCCCGGATCTTTATTCTTTCATGAAAAGGGAAACACACATTTGTATTCCCAGCACCTGGGGAACTGAGGCAGGACGATTGCTATGAGTTTTAGACCTGGGCTACAAAGTGAGTTTAGGGCCAGTCTGAAACACATAGTTACAGCTTGTCTCCAAAAAAAAAAAAAGAACAGTGACTGTCAACATGATGTTAAAAAAAAAAAAAAAAAAAAAAAACCACACCACACAGACAAGCAGTCTATCAAATTTAGCACAGCAGTCTTGATGCTAACCAACCTTCGTGTGTCTTCCATCTCCTTCACTAGACGCTCCAGAGAGTTCGTGTAAGTGCCACTGTGGGCACACTCCTGAAAGATGAAAGTTCAGAGTGTCTCACAGCAGATCTTGGCAGAAGAGCTGGGTGCTTTCCAGTCACCCAGAGTGCTAAGTACTACTTGTCACTCCAACAATCTGGACTGTGGTGATACATTTTAGGGGAGGTTTACTTTTTGTTTTTGGTGCCCAGGGCTTCTAGCTTGCTAGGCAGGCATTCTACCGCTGAGCCAAATCCCCAGCCCTGGATGATACATTTTTAAACAGAAATTTACACCATGCTTTAATTCTAGTATTTTGTCCTGCAGGCAATTGATTTTATTATTAGGAAAGGTTCTCCTTACAGAACTCTGCTAGCTTTAGGATATGACTGCAAACATCCCAAGGGCTATGTGGCCATCCTTTCGTTACTTCTGAGTTCTAACTCACTGGAACCAAACTACTTATTTTTAGTTGTTACCATGAAATACTACCATCTTCCCCACCAATTTTACAGATATCTTAAAATTTAATTCAGCTTATTCCCAAGAATGAATGAAGCACTCTATAAATAAAATTGCACACCACAATTAACAACATTTCTACACTCTACCTTCATTTACAGCAGTGGTCTCCAAAGCAGGAGGTGTGCAAGGTGATCCAATGGGGTGCAGGAAGAAAATAATAAAACTTCTATTTATATGGAACTTCTATAGAAACTCTAGTAGAACTTAAGTCTATAGTAACGTCTACAGAAAAATACTCATTTCCTTGTTTTCCCTTTTAAATCCTGGTTTTTCTATATTCTTTAGAAAGTACACAGTATTCTATCTGTACATATATACACATCTACAAATACACATTGTAATTGGGGTACATGCTCAAAAGTGTTTTTACTCAGAATGTGTGTATGATCAAGAAAGTTTGGAGACCACTGATTTACAGTAATAAAACTGAAGATGTTGGAAATTAATTTATCTACCAAGAATTATACTACTTTTCATTCCCATCACGGGTCGTAAAAAATACCAAATTTTAAAATAAGTTTTTAACAATCTATCCTTTTCTTCCTAATCATTTTTTTCCTCCTCAAATAAAGACAAAAGTTACTAAACTACTTACGCTGTGGCCTGGTGACTGGCCCTGAAGCCCCTCGGGAAGCGCAGGCCTCTCTGAAGCTGTACAAGTCCCACTGAAGTTCAAGGCCATGATTTCTGCCAGTGACTCCAATGGTTCCTCTTCCTCATCACTGTCCAGGTTGTAAGCTAAACTTTCTTCATCACTATCAAAATCACCCCTTAATTTTCTTTTCAGTGCACTGCTACCTGCATTGGAATTTTCTGAACTCTCCTTATCGGAAGGGGTTTTATTTGGAGGTGCTGCAGGGCTTGCGTTACATGGCACAGCTTCCAAAGCAGACAGTGGAGACTTGGCAGGAGTGCCATACTCCGCACACACAGATCCCTCAGAAGGTTTCCCTGAAGACACAGTAGAATCACTCTTATTAGTCTTTGCTTTGTGTTCTTTGTGCTTGGAGGACACCATAGAATGCCCAGAACATTCTTTAGATGACGAACGCTCTTTGTCTTTCCTAGGGACCAGAAGAGTGCAATTTTTAGCATTTAATGGCACCTGAGAGGAACCAGCACTTGGAACATGCGAAAGCAAAGGCAGAGGTTTTGTCTCTTTTGGTAACTCGGAGCTAGCAGTTTTATTTTTCTGAAGAGTGACAGCTTTTTTAATTGTAGATTTTTCCTGAGGTAAACATAGGTGCGGTTTTCGTATCTTAGTCTCTTTGGTACTTGCCACATGGATTTGGTCACTATTTGCAGAAGAACCGTGACCAGCAAGTGGAGGTGCCAAGCCTGGAGAGGCGACATCAGCTTCATCACTCACTTCCCTGGACAGATCCTCCAGGCGCAGCACATCACCGGGAGTCTTCAGGGCAATGTGTCTTATAAACCGCCCCCTTTGGTGCGAACCAGCAGGTCGCTGCCCAAGGCCAGGTGCTCCTGCTTCTGGCGGCAGGGGTGCTCTGGTGCTCTTCAGGTCTGAGTCCACAGAATTCCTTTTTCTCTTGTCAGGGAGTCTGTTCTGCTTAGAGCCTGGCAAAATGCAGTTTGTGTCAGATTAGTGCAAGTACAGTCTCATGCGAGTTGAGCTTATTCACTGGATGTCCAGAATACCCTGACAAAATGACCAAATTCTAAAAGTTTTAGGCTAAGATGATTCACAACGTATATAATGAGGAAAGAGAACTGTCATTTACTTCCAAAATTCAAATAGTGGTGTCCAAAAAATTTAAAGCTACTGACAAATGCTCATTTTCCATTCCAAATCTATTTTTTTAATGGAACTGGGGATGGAACTCAGGCCCTTGTGCTTGCCAGGCAAATGCTTATTCGACTGAGCCATCTCCCTGGCCCCTAGAATTAAGAAAGAGTATCACTAGGAAACACATAAACCACCATGCACTTGTACTCATAGAATGATTCCAAATATACTTCCCTTCAAAATGCACATTAAGGGACGGGGAGATGGCTCAGTAGGATAAGTGCTTCCCTGGCAAGCGCGCAAGGGCCAGAGTTCAGAAAATTAAGTGCCCGGTTCTGCCCCCCCCCCAAAAAAAAAGCACATTAAGCCCAGGACTACCTTGTTCTTCCACATCAAAAATACAGTACCTTCTTTTTTTTTAATGTATTTAGTACAGGGTCTAGGGTCTCACTACACAGATCAGACTCATAGTGAGTCTCGTTTTTAGCCTCCCAAGTGCTGGGATTACAGGTGTGCCACCATGCCCAGTCTCAGTCTCAGCATGCCCTGGCGGCGGGGCTGGCACAGCAATCTGCTGAGGTATATAGCCGGCCCCAAAATATACTACCTTCAAACACATATAGGATCAAGAGTTGAAAGTAATTTTTAATTTCTCATCAAAAATAAATGGACTCAGCCAGGTGTGGTGGTGCATGCCTATAATCCCAGTACTTGGAAGCTGAGGCGGGAGGATGGTTGCAAGTTCAAGACCAGCCTGGGCTACAAAGTTCAAGGCCAGCCTAAACTGCACAGCGAAACCCTGTCTCAAAAAGACCAAATAAATAAACATGGACTCAGTATGTAATTGTTTTTATCCATTCCCATATCTGTATTTCTATCAGCTTAGCTATGCTATGGGCTGTATGCCCCAAAAATGCCACGCTCAAATGCTGACCCCCACATCACAGACTGCAGTCTGTACTAGGAACAAGGTCTTTATGGTCATGACTGAATTAAGCAACTCTTAAGAGTCTGTCCCATTGTAAAATGACGTGCCCTTAAATGAAGGGGAGAAGACAGAAAAAATACCTAAGGAAAAGATGTGACTGGAGTGATACGGCCACAAGTAAAGAAATTCTAAGTATTGCAGGCCAACAGCAGGAGCCAGAATAGTTAAAGGATTCCCCCTTCAGCTGTCAGAGACAACACAGCCCTCTGGATGCTCCAGCTTCCAGAACTGTGAGGCAGTGATTTCTGCTGCAGTGTGGGAACCCCGCTGCAGCAATCCTAGGAGCCATTACAGAAGGTGCAAAATGTAGGCTCTGGCAGCTATGAGTAGCAGGCAAGCAACTTTTAAGTACCTTTGTTGTTTTGAAGCAAACAGGTTGTTTTTGACCCCTGCCTCTGTGCAGGCAACACTGTCTTGGTGCAGGCTGCCATGCCTATCCAAATGCCTCTAGAAGACCAGACCCCTCACAGTAAATCCACCATCCACTCAATCAAATGTCAACTCTATGGTAGGAACAGGACCACTGCCCCAGATTCGGTGGTGTCTCGGCTCTGAGCACTCCCACTTCTCCCCCAAAGTGGTTTTGTACAGCTTCCTGCACTACTTATAATATAACTACTTTTGCTTTGCATTGGTCTTGTCTGACTTCGGTTCCTCCTTCTGTAGTGAAGAGAAAGACCCAGGGAGGGTGAATCTGGGGACCTCTAGATCCCAGACCCCTAAGATGTAACACTAGGGCAAGCTGGCTTTATTAGTAGCCATATTCAGATACACTTTAATAAGCATCTACCTTTGAGTTAATGAGTTTTTAAAAATCTGTATTGTGGTTAAAAGTAGATTTTATTGGTTCTTTATTAAAGATTCATGAGATCTAGAAGCATAGCTCTGGGGTACAGTGGCAGAGCACTCGCCCAGCAGTGCGAGGAAGCTGGTTCAATCCCTAGCACTGAGGAAAAACAATAATGAAGACAATACATACAATCCTCCACAAGACTAAAAGCAATAATTATCTTACAAATGTCCTTGAAGGGGCTGGAGAGATGGCTCAGTGGTCTAAAGCACCTACTTGAAACAAGCTTGGCAATGCACAGGGACCGCAGTTCAATCCCCCAGCACCACATGCCAGCCAGCCCCGCCCCCTGGTGGGCTGAGCTGCCCCCCCCCACAAATATATAAATAAATAAATGTTTAAAAAAAAAAACAACAAATGTCCTTGAAATTTTGTAACAAAAACAGTGGCGTCTGTATGTGAAATACTAGGAAAAACTGTGTTGGCTCATGATTAGCATTTTCAGCCTTACACAAAGAATCTTCAACACAACAAGATCTCAATTGCAAGAATAAAACATTATGTGTTATATAGCTGCCAGGGATACAGCTCAGCAGCACAGGGCCTGCCTGGCAAGTGCAAGGTCATGAGTTTGACTGCCAGTATAAAAAACCAACCCTCCTCCAAACCCTGAAAAGACCAAGATTTAAGAGTGGAACATTGAGTATTAATACAAGAAACACACTATAAAGAACTCTTGAAGTTAAGAAAAAAGTCTAGACAAACCACAGTTCAGAGATACTAAACTCCTTTTTATGTTGTTAACAACTTAATCTTTAACAATTCATGTCTAGAAAAGAAGTGCCTATTTAAAAAATTGTTTTTATGTTGTTTTTTTTTTTTTTTTGCGGAACCGGGGATTGAACTCAGGCCCTTGCGCTTGCCAGGGAAGCGCTTATTCCACAGAGCCATCTCCCTGGCCCCCTAAAAAATTGTTTTTAAAAGCAGTGTCATTGAGAAGCAAATTTATTTAGAAATTCATATATTTTATTTCTACCTGAAGTAGGTTCCCATGAGTCAGAAGAGGATCTTTTTCTTGAGAGATGTCCATTTTCCTATTAAGAAAAAGAATTTCAAGCAATAAACACAGGTTTCTATACTGAGTAAAAAAAGTCACCTACACTTAAAAGTTTAAATTCTAAAATAAAATATTTGAAGATCTTAAGTTTTAAAATGAAGGAGGCAGGCATGGTGGTCCATACTTGTAATTCCAGGTACTCAGGAAGCGGAGGTGAGAAGATCCCAAGTTTGAAGCCACCTTGGGCAATCTAGAGAAGCCTTCTCTCAAAATTTAAAAAATAAAAAGGGCTGGGGATACAGGTCAGCTTTCTGGATTCAATCTCCAGTGCTGCAAATAAACGAAAGACCTAAGTTGGGAGTACAGTTTAGCAGCAAAGCACTTAGCGAACAGACCCAAGACCCCGAGTTTAATCCCCAGCAGTGCACAGACATCTGTTCCATTAAAATGTAAATAACATGAAGCCACGTTTACAATGCTGAGTTAGGGACTTGTATTAATACCTAAAAGGTGCTATCACTTGAACTCTTCAGTACCTCCGTTTAAGGGCTGATGCACCACAAACACTGAAATCTTATAAAATGGACCAAATATTGCTAACTTCTACTATCAGATCTCATTGGTAAAGGTCATCAATCTTCTTATAAGTCTTAGGAACTTACTTATGTCTAGTAATATACAATGCTCCAATCTATTCATTCCTAGATTATCGTAATTTGGCTTAATTTTGGTCAATCTAGTTTTAAAATTTCAGAGCATTTTTTTCCTTCTATATTTTAGGGAAGGGCATACAGGGTGTTCAGGGTCTCACTACTAGATCAGACTCAGTGATTCTCCTGTTTACAGCCTCCCACGGGCTGGGATTATAGGTGTGTCACCATGCCCAGTGTCAATCATCATCTCAGTGCGCCCCAGGGGTGGGGCCAGCACAGACCCCCATAGCAGGCCCAGGGATCAAGCCTGCTTTGCAGGGCTTTAATCCGATGGTTGGCCCTTCAGAGCATTTTCTTTGTTGAATTAGGTTTTTTTTTTTTTTTTTTTTTTTTTTTTTGCGGAACCGGTTATTGAACTCAGTCCCTTGCACTTGCCAGGGAAGGGCTTATTCCACTGAGCCGTATCCCCAGCCCCTAGAGCATTTTCTTGATAGCTGACTTTCCTGTTTGCTCCAATTTTCCAGGCAGAGGGACAACTTTTATGTGAAGTTCAATCTTTAATTTTAAAAAAATCTGATGTGGTTAAAGTACGTCAAGGACAGTTTCCCAAGAGATTGTCATCAATTACTTATGACCTCTATATACTCTAAGCCAGTGACTCTCAAGTTCCACATATGGCAGTATCTCTTGGAAGGCCTATGGGCAGAGGGCTGGGCTCTACTGCTATCAGCTGATTCTGTGTACCTGGCCAGGATCTGAGCCTGCAATTCTGACAAGCCACTATCTTAGAACATTTTCTGTTCTTTTAAATCTTTCATTCTTCAAGTATCTCACTTCAGCAGATCCTAACTTAAAAATGACTATACTGGGGGCCGGGGAGATGGCTCAGTGGAATAAGTGCTTCCCTGGCAAGCGCAAGGGCCTGAGTTCAATCCCCGGTTCCACAAAAAAAAAAATGACTATACTTCCCTAAATGGATGAATGCTTGTTTTTTTGATTAAATAAGATTATTAATCTTGGTCTGAAAATATTAAGGGCAAAAAAACTACTTCACTGAATTCAATGAAAGGAAGTTGAAAGAAACCAAATGAGACCACCTTCAAGTTGTGTATTTTTATAAATCTATCAATGTGATATATCATTATATATTTTTAGATTTAGTATTCCAAATGATATAGAAAAGACAAAGCTAATTTAGTAGGTACTGCACATACCAAGTTTGAAAGATTACTTTTTCCAGGTGTGTCATTCTGTTTGCTCTGCTCCTGCCTTGGTTTACATCTTGTTGCTTGACTGGTGGATTTTAAAGTAAGATCACTTGCTTCTGAGAAAGAATTTTCTGAGTTCATTTTCTGCTTCATTTGCTCTTTTCTCAGCTTCTTTAATTCTCGTTCTTTGCAGTATGTAGCTAGCGACCTTTGGAAACTGGTAGTTCCCAGTGGGCTTCCTCCCAGGTGGTGTCTGGACAGGCTGCTCCTGCTGCTGAGACTGGCAGAGCTGCTCTTAAAACTGTCGGTTTCTGTCACCAAGGCTGGCGTTTTGAAGTTTGCATTCGCCTTTCCCCGATCTTTATCATTCTTTTCTTTGCTATTTTCATGAATGAATTGTGACTTCTTTCTTTCTGGAGACTGATGTTTTTTCTTCAGTGTCTTCATTTCTTTTGACAAATAATATGAATGAGGAACAGTAAAATTTGTTCCTTTGGAAAAATATTCAGAGACCAGTGACATACAAGGCTGGCGGGGCTCATGCACACCTTGGTCTTTATGGTGCTCTTTAACGCCTTTCATCAATGATTCTATTATAGGGCTTTTTCCTGATGACGTTTTTTTGGGTTTAGATGTTTTTGATGAGGGTAGTTTCCTCTGAAACTGCTCTGTGCCACTGATGGACAATCCATTTCCTCCATATCTGATGTCTGATTTTTGTGAAGAATCCAACATATGTCTCTCTAAATAGCCAATTAAAACACAAATTTCATGTTATTAGAAGTAACACAAACTAATGTTTTATATCATTGATCCTCCCTATTAAAATACAAAACTATATTAAAGGAATCATTTTTCAAAGCAAAATACATGGGCAATGACACACACTGTATGAGGGTAAAAGAAATTAAGACAAGGCTTACCTAATAAATCTTACACAAAGCTCCCTTTTGCTACAGCATATAACCTCCCTATGGCTGTAACAGAGAACTAAAACTCTATGCATTATACACCAGACTGAGGCAGGAAGACTGCCATGAGTTCAAGGCCAGCCTAAGCTGAAGTAAAAAGGAAAAAGAAAAAAAAATCCCCAAACACTATTTATTATAATCATTATACACTGGAATATTTTATACTTAAGAACTTAGAAAAGTATGTATAGAGTATTTAAAAAAATACTGCGGCTTCATTAAAATTCTGCATTTTCAAATTTTTATTTATTTTTTTGGGTTCTTTTCAGAAAGTTTCCCTATGTAGTTCAGGCTGGACTTCAACACACTTTGTAGCCTAGGCTGACCTTGAACTTGCTGTATGAACCTCTTGCCTCAGACTCCTGAGTGTTGGGTACAGGTGTGTGCCACTATACCCTACATTTTCCATTCTGAACAGTTCAATCAATAAAAAGTTTAAAAGTTAAATCCATCTCTTCTCAGCTCCAAAATAGCACACAAAATATATTAAAATATGCATACCTTGTTTTGAAGCTGGCTTGAAGAAATCTATAATTGACTGCTTCCTGAAAATAAAAGCATAACTAATATGGGATCACATAAAATAACGAAACTTCAGTAATTCAGATTAAATGGAGTATGCTAAATTTACAAACACAGGCTGAAATTCATCTGGCTTAACTAAATTTCAACAATGGCAAGAACTTTGCTACGCTATCAAAACTGAAAATGATTCATGACTTTCTGGAGGTTTACAAAACCACTAGTAAAACTTACATAATCTATGGTACTCAAATGGTAAAACTGGAGTGTCGATGCAGGGAACGGGCGCAGAGTACTATTTCATTCTGAACACAGCTACCTGTAAAATGAGGGACCTCAGGGATAGAGCCCAACTTCTTCTGTTGCTATCTCCAGTGACTGCTATGAAAAGAAGACTATACAAATGGAGAAAAGCCTAAGCAGACAATGGTAACAGTAGTACAGCAGATGGTAGAATGGCAGTATGAGTGATTTGGCTGATTTTGGGAGGCAGCTGAACAAGAACATGCTAGCCAAAGACACAAGGAATACTAGCCTCTATACGTTAAGCAAAGATGTTGACCTAAGTTAACAGCAAAATGGGCATAAGTCTTCACAACTAGTGTTTCAATTTAAACTTTTCAGTTTGGGGGTTTTCTGACAGAGTCTTGCTGTGATGATCAAGCTGGCCTTGAACCGTTTAGCCCAGGCTGGCCTGGACCTCATCGCAATCCCCCTGCCTCAGCCTCCCAAAGGATGACAGGTATGCACTATCACACTTATCTTTTTTTTTTTTGGCGGAACTGGGGATTGAACTCAGACCCTTGCACTTGCCAGGGAAGCACTTACTCTACCGAGCCATCTCCCCGCTCCTTATCATGCCTATCTTAAATTTTTAATTTAGCTAAGAATCCCAGGGGCCAGGGAGATAGCTCAGTAGAATAAGTGCTTGCCTGGAAAGTCCAAGGGACTGAGTTCAATCCCCGGTTCTGCAAAAAAAAAAAAAAAAAAAAAAAAAAAAATCCTTAAAATACAAAAACATTGCTTAGGAAAACCACAAAACAAGGACATGTGGAAGACAGCTAACAAGTTAAGTGCTCTTACTGAAGATTTTAGTTCCCTGAAGTGGGCACAAAACAAAGCAGGATCGCAGCAGCAGTTTGTATTCTGGTACTTTCCCTGTATTAAGTTGTAAGCTACAAAAGGAGGCTGTGATATGCAGAGGGCAAAGTTAGTTTTGTAGCAAATTTTGCAAAAATGATTTTTTTTTTTAAAGGGGAGATTTATTTTTTGGTTTTGGTGCCGAGGACTGAACCCAGGGCTTCCAGCTTGCCAGGCAAGCATTCTATCGCTGAGCCAAATCCCCAGCCAAAAGTGTATTCCTTTTTTTTTTTTTTTTTTTTTGGTGGTACCAGGGATTGAACTCAGGCCCTTGAACTTGCCAGGGAAGCACTTTATTCTACTGAGCCATTTCCTTGGCCCAAATGTATTCTTTTTGATGAAAGAGAAACTACTGGCTTCTCCAAACATTTATCCATGTTTGAAGTGAAAGCCTTCACCAACCAAATCCAAGAGTGAGGTCTTTCTACATCACCTACACCTTAGTCACATTAGAAAAGCACTGCACAGGTTTACTCACAGTCCACCATGTTTATGTGAAATGTTGGTAGAAAATCTGTGATGAGATGAATGACAGGTTATGGTAGAATATATGCATGTTTACAGAAAATAAACTACATTAGGGAAACTAACTCTATCAGAGTAAAGGAAGAAATGCTATAGGATCTCTGTGACGTCTTGTTACTAGTGGAGAGGCAAGATTATAGTAGGCTTTATGTCAATTATTGAATGTAACACTCATCTCTTCGCTAAAGTATTAGCTCTCAAACTCCCTTGCATTTAATATATCAAAGAGAAATCTGGAATTGGGTAAACCATATGAGACCTCTAAAAATAACTACAGTTGTGACTTTCACATTTGTTCACTAAATTCATATGCACAGAAATGTCTACTACTGATTTATAACTGATTAAGAAAAACAATTAGAACAGTTTCACAAACCCTTATCTGAAACTTCTGGGGCCAAATGTGTTAGAATTGTGAATTCATTGGAATTTAGAAAGGGGACAATTTAGATGTATTATATAAAGCCTCCGGTGACTGCCTGATGCTGCAACATGTAATAAAACGCACCGCTATTTCTCCAGCAAAACGTAGGAATATTCACACTTAAGGGAATAAAAACTATGAACAGCCTTACATCACTTCAGGTTGGTTGGCTGCCAAGACACGGTGTTAAACTCACTGAAAACGTTTGGTTTTCATACATTTTTGGCTTTCAGGATTAAGATAAGGGACTGTGTACTTGCACCACATTAGAACATCCATCTATCATTAGGCTTTTGTTACAAGCTTTTCAACTTAAACGTAAAAAAGACAGTACCAAGTTCGTAGAGAATGTAAACATGTTTTATTGTCACAGGATGTCATTTGATCAAATTCCCCATCTTTACATATCTCCCACAAAATCTATACAAAAACCAGCCCGCTTGGATAGGCATAAAGATACTGAAAGAAAGAGCAATCACATTTCCAATCTGGGCGTCCTATTAAGTGATGCATTACCGCGCAGACTGCGCGCCTCACCGCTTCTTACGTAACTTCACCCACATGACCGAAAAGGTTCTCACTACAACCCACGAGGCTCGGCCCCGAAAACCACCCACACACGCGTCGACACTCAGGGACCCGGGCCCAGCTTTCCGGGACGGCAGCCGCGTCCGCCCGCCCGCCCGCCCCGCGCGCGGCGCTCCCTCCGCGCTCCCTCCCGCC